AAAAAAAAAAAAAATCTAGGGAAAGAGCATTCCAAACAGGGAACAGAGCCTGCGAAGTGTGTGAACAGAGCTCTGCTAGGAGAGGCTACCTGGGTTCCGGGAGCCTCTGGGAGCCCCAGAGAGGCGGGGGCGGCGGCAGGTGGCCGCAGGGCCTCCCTGTAACCTCCTGCTGTGTTCCAGCGCCCCAGCCTGCAGCTGACTGAGGACCACAGTGAGCCAGCGAGGGGGCGGGGACACCTCAGCCGCAGCCGCCGCCCCCTCCCCCGCAGCGACTCGGACCGCTACTGCCTGCCCCCAACTCCCCGGGCCCGGCCCCTGCCCTGCTGCCCCCGGACAGCGTCTGGCTCCCCTACTAACCTCCCTCTCTTCCGCCCTTGGCCCCCCTCCCCCACCTGCCCCTCCCCTCCCGCTTTTATTTATTTTGGATTAGCCGGTTGGCCCCCACGCCCTGGTTCTCCCCTCTCAGGTCTGCACCCCTCCCTCCCTGCCGCACCCCCATAGGACCCTCCCCCCCCCAGAAGGCTTTTGTATTTGTGCATAGCTAGAGTGAGGGCGGAGGGGGTCTGCTACAGGCCGCAAGCCCTATGCTTGTTTTTTATTCTGATTTCCCCTCCTTTTCTCTTTCTTTTTTTCTTTTTTCTTTTTTTTTTTTTTTTTTAAGAAACCGTTTTTTAAACTATTTCTAGGTTTGTGAATGTGAAGCCCCAGGCCGCAGGGGGCAAGGGGCCAGGTGCCCCCCCACCAGCTGAGAACAAAATGTCTATGTGGGTGTGGGCCCCTGGCCACCTCCCTCCAGCCCTGGAAAGGACAGGGTTGCAGCCAGGCCAAGCCCCTGGAACCATCCCGTCCTGTATCATATGTAAATACTGTGAGGTGAAGCCCCTACCCCTCTGTAAGACCCCTTAGGGGTGAGGGCATCGCCTCACCCCACCTGGCAAAGGTGTCCCCCTGTGTTTCTGTCTCCTCCTCAGACACCGTTACTGTAAGCTTGCAGGCCTCAACTGTGGCCAAGGCAAGCCCGCTCGCTCAGGCCCTAGGGGTCAAGGCCTTGGGCCTGCTCACCCCAGAAACCCAGCATGGGGCCAAAGGGTGAGGAAAGAGAAGGGCTCGCCCCGGAGCCACTGCTGGAAAGGAATTAACTCTCCAAAGGTCTCCCCCTGCCCCCTACCTAGGTCAGGCCTTCATGGTTTCTGCTCTGAGCCCCCCATGAGCGGGCATCAAGGGGGTACTTTGGGAAGGGGTGGACCCCAGGGGAAAGCAAAGGGCTTCTCAGGGAACCCCCACATTCTCTCACTGAAGTTCCCCACCAGGATGGTCCCACGGCAGAGCCCCTTGGCAGCCCCGAGCCCCCAAGCCCCCTTCAAAGGAAAAAGAGGCTCAGGGTCTGACTCTTCATGAACAGTGAGTGACCTGGCTGGCATGGCAGGGCTGAGGCCCACCTACCTGCTGTTGTCCCCCTCTCTGTGTCCCTCTCCCCCAGGTCTGAGGCTGGGGACCTAAGCTCTCTCCCCCATCATAGTTCCCATCCCTGAAAACCCCCTTTGGAGAGTTAATTGTCTGTGTGAGGTGCTTAACCTATTAGCCCTGAGAACACAAAGCAATAATCTTTGTTACTGAGATGCGCGGCTGTTCGTGGTTTTGTTTTGTTTTCTTGTTTTTTTTTTTTTTAATGTTTCCTAATAAAAGAGAAGCTGCATTTTATTGGTTTTTATTTTTAATTTTCTACACGTTTGAGCTGAGTCATGAGAGACTCAGCTTCCTTCTCCTCCCCTTCTTGTGACCCCCGTCCCACCCCCACTGAGCCCACCCATGGGCTCAGGGCCCTGGAATTCCGTTTTCTGATTTGTTTGGGGAATTTTTTAAAAAGATGTTACACGGTGTTTTGAAGCCAGCAAGTTACCACCCTCCGGTGTCTCTTCTCTCCACATCTGTAACTTCTTTTTCCAGGTTTTATTTTCAGTTTTAAATTCCTAATAAATTATTTGAAAACGGTGCTGGCTTTGTGAGTTTTTTCCATCTCTGTGTACATTCAGGTCTAGGTACCCCAATGACACCCTGTTTTCTCCTACCTTCTGTTCGTCTCCTGAAAGTCTGCACTTTCCATTTGACCAAGTTTCATTTACAACCTCTTGACCAGCCTCAGAGCTTAGCGTTGATGATGAGATACCACTTCACACCCATGAGGATGGCCATTATTTTAAAAAAGGGGGGGCAGGGGCGCCTGGGTGGCTCAGTTGGTTAAGCGACTGCCTTTGGCTCAGGTCATGATCCTGGAGTCCCAGGATCGAGTCCCGCATCGGGCTCCCTGCTGTCAGCAGGGAGTCTGCTTCTCCCTCTGACCCT